GCCTACAGGTACTTGTGCAATCTGTTACATATAAGTAGAGAAGGTGACATACAACGTAAACAAAAAAAAAAGATGTAATGATATATATGCATAACTCGTGGTAACCTTGTCAGAACCTCTTGTTCCTATCTGATTCTTAGAAAGTCCATTGCCACCTCGGCCTCCTCTCTGAAAACCAAAATTAAACAAGCTAAAGTCAGGTATCAATGATTTCCCCAGAGTTCAAATGATCCATATCATATCAAGCTACACCGCAATGTCTAGCTTCACAGTTTAGGTTAATAGGATCATATAAACAAAATTCAGGTTTGGACGACCTTTCTTATACCAATACATTCACAACACTAACTTTCAATTAGGACACTATAATTTATGAAATAAGATCTTACATGAAGCACAACAATCAGTGCAGCAACCATATCTAACTCAAGCAAAAAGACATACCATGTGATGCTGCAAGCCACTGAAATCCCAGATAGACCTTGAGCACTCAAGAATTACATCACCACCCTTCCCTCCATTACCACCTGTACTTATTAAAATTCATTATAAGGAATTAAGGATGGATCAGTCCAAATATTGCAAATAATATAAAGCCCACTGCACTAGTATGTGAAAATCAGAGTGAGTATCAGGAGCTAGATTGAAGCAACAGAAACAGGGGAAATATTTATATATTTATATATAATATATAATTAGCAGGGTTTAATATCCAATTTGCACATGATTTTTAGAATTCCAGGGATCATTCCCTGCCCGTAGCATGCATTGCAACATCAACTTCAGCATTTACAGTACCATTGCACCTCATGTATCAGGTGTTCAAGCATTAGCTCCCCATACATCAGAGATTCAGATTATCATTTTTTGAAACAAAAAGCAGGAGCTCTGCCGCTCAATTAAGCTGAAATAATATTATGTACAAGAAGGTTAGCGGACGAGATGCGAAAAGGCACCCGGGGCTAACCACCCCACTGCGACGCAGCTTGAGCACAAACACGACACAATCGCCATGGGTCATCGTTGCCGAGCATGGAAGCCAAGCTGCCAGCAGCTCCGACTTCCATGGCGAGGCCACCCATCGTCACCCCCGACGAATTCGAAGCTAATGGCCGCCACGGTCATCGTTACCAAGCTCAAACACCGAAGAGCAGCTCCGACTTCCAAACGCAAACCATCGCCCCGCGCCAAAACGCGACAATAATCCAAATGCGCGCTTCAGGGAAGGAGTAGCGCCAATGGCGTCACCGTCGCACGCCCAAAGTGGACTGAGTTTTCACCTTGAAAGACATGCTAGTGGGGAAATCGACGCCCCAAAGAGGAAGCGGCGCCCAAGTCGTCGCCATCGCCAAGGCTTTCGCCCAAGAACCCTCTAGCACACTCGCCGGGTCGTGAAGCCGGACCCGTGCCAGCCTTCACCGCCATCGCCGTTGTCCTGGCGCCCCACGGAAGCCCCCTTAAGAGGGGCATCGGCCGTCGTTGCGCGTGCAAACCGCCTGACTCGTTAGCCGCCACCCCTCCGACCGGGCCACCCAGAGCGGACTGACTGCTGCGCTTTCGCGTCACGCGCACCGAGGCCGCGCATTTGACCAACGTCGTCGCCTCCGCACCGCTGGCGTCTCTCGCCGTCATCATCGCCAGTGCCCCACCATGTCGAACTCCGCCCGTATCCTGAAACGCCGAATCCGGACGCCAGCCCCGAATCCGGCGCCCCTGCCGACGCCAACGCCTCCGTCTTGACCATAGCTGCGATACCATTCGCCTTGGTCAGCCGAGACCCGGCCGCCATGCGGCAGGCCGGGCGGCAGAGGTCGTTGCCGAGCACGCCGGCCCGAGCCGCGGCGGAAAAAGGCCATGAGGGGGGGGACGGCGAGAAGAAAGACACCACCCAGTAGCGATGCATGGGCCCGACCACCGCCACCGCCGCCGGCCGCCATGACAGATCCGGCGGCACAGGGTCCGGATCGGCGACTGGCCCCGCGGCGGCTCGCCCGGCGCCGCCGCCGCCATCAAGAGAGAGAAGGGAACGCATGAGAAGAAGAAGACCTCGCCACGTCCCTCAACGCACCTGCGGACACCACCGGCGCTGCGGCCAGCAGCAACACCTCGTCAACCTCCACGCCCGGTCGCGCGAGGTGGACCGCCCACCTACTGGCGCCGCCACCATCACAAATGGTAGGCGAGGCGGCCATGCGGCACCAGCTCGGCAATGGCAAGGTGCGAGGAGGAGAGGGTGAGAGGGGAGGCGGCGGCGAGGGATCGCCCGAGTCGCCCCGCATGGGGGAGCGACGCGGGCGTCAGTGGGGGGAAAAGGAAAAAAATTATAAAATCAAATCTATTCAAGCTGTAGATTCAGATTATCATCTCTCAAAAGAATACCATTTTGAAGACTAACAGACATGATCTGTTGGTCAATTAAACAGATTACTTAAAGCCCAAAGAAATATCTGGGCAGTTAAGATGAGGACACTAGACGGATAACCTGGTGTGAAATCAAAATTAAATTTTCCAACAGTAAGAGCTCTACTAATGGACAAAGCAACTAAAGGGGAAACTTGAAGATTGATCTTCATTGAGAGAAGCACCAATTTAATTAGGAAAGTTGTAGTTGTATATTGTAAAGGGAACGGACACATATTGGTCTCCAATGCTAATACCACAACCAGAGCCAACTTCACCAGAGTGTTTGTATAATTGCGAAAGCAAGGGCAGCACAAAAGGGTGGGGTCTCTCACCGTCAGGCATGCCCTGGCGGTTGGACCTAGAGCGCCGGAGGCTGACGCAGCCATTGCCGCCGTCGCCACCCTTGGCGCGCATCCGGAACTTGTCCACCATACCCCGCGCCTGCACCAAATCCATCAGTAACGAAACGGAGGGTGAAGGGAATCGGGAAACGGTCATGGAAGGAGGAGACCTGCAAAGGCGCCGCCTTTGCCTTCCTCCCCTCCGTCGCAGACCCGTAGTAGCATCCCAGCCGGTCGGCCGCCCAGGATGATGGAGCCTGCGCCGCCGCCCTCAGCGACGGGAGCCGGCGGAGAAGGCTCTGCTGCCGCCGCCACATGTTCAATCCACTGTACTCGTACTTGATCGACTGGGAGAAGGAGGAGGAGCAAATGCCCCCGTCGGCCGTCGCGGGCGCCTCTTGACCTCGCGCGCCGCCGTCCGGCCTCGAGTGGGGGACGAGAGACGGAACGGACTCCTCTTAGCTCGGCGGTGGGCTCCAAGCCCAATAGGGTTTTAAGGAAGTGGGCCTTGCCTCTATTAATTTTCTGCGAATGAAGTTACCTATGAAGACATAATTAGTGATTCTAAAAAATGAAGACATAATTAGTCTGTAATTCTTATATATAGTGGTAAATAGGGAATCAATTTTAGAAATGGGTGGACGCAACTTATTTGGGAAATTGTTTGAGAGCTTTATTCAATTCTATGCTGCAGGCACGGTGCGATTTCTTCTCTATGAATGAATGTGTTCAGAGGCACCTTGCACTTTTCTTGCTCTTTTGCAGGATTTAGGGGTGCGGCACTCCCCAATCAGGGAGCTCCATAACACATTGCAAAGAATGTTTACCACTAGTTCATTTCACTGTCAAGTCTGAATACGCATATTTGTTTGTTGAGCAAAATGTCATATACCATCCAGGTAAGAAGCTAATGGGCTGGATGGGCTGTACAACAAATGGGCTAGCACAGGTCACCATGAGGGCAGTAAAGAGAAGGCAGCCAGGCACGCACAGGGCCATCTAATGAATTATCAGAAGAGCCTTCTCCTATCTCTGTTCCTCTTCTTCCTCCTCTGGCCTCTCTCTCTAGATCTAGAGCTCTCCCTCCCTTGCCTAGTCTGATTCCTCCCTTCTCCACCTAGATTGCTCAGCTAAGCTCAAGGCCTCCCTTCCCCTGAGGTCGTGTAATCAGATTGTACCCAACTGAGTATTGAGTGCTGTGTCATCTACTGAGAGGTGTGCTAACATAAAAGTTTCACCAACTTAGACTGCCAATACAAAGCAAATTTCAGAAATCTCGTCATTCAAGTTTCATTCTGAGAGTAAATATTTCATCAGTTCCACACAACAAGCCCATTTAATCACAATATATTTTGCAACAGCACAAAATTGAGCTAATCTAAAGTTACCATCCTTGAATGTGCCACAATTACATGTAAATCCGGTACAGAAATTTCGACATCTATCTAGTGGGAAAATATCTAGCTAGAATACTCTTCAATTTCGTATTCCTCGTTGCTTTGCATCATTGCGGCTCTGCCTACACAGATTAAAGCATTACTTATCCATGCAGCTGAAAGTTCTACAGACGCTCGTTTATTGAACATTAGATTCTTTGGATCGTGAAAAAACTCTTCTTGGCTGGTTTTGGTGTGAGAAAAATACTATTCCATTTGGAAATTCTACGATCGTTTACGACTGTATAAGCCTACAGATTGGTGAAGTAATCATCGGTGACCTTTTTCTTAACCTGCAAATATTGCTCAATAGCAGAAAGTTCTATCACACGCAAGGAGAAAGTTCTAGTATGCAAGACTGACAGGGATATATACTCTGCCCTATCCACAAGTTACTACTAACCTTGAAAAGTAAAGCATAACATGGACACGGGCCTAGTTATTTCCATGCCAACTACCAAAGTTTTTGAGATTCCCTGCCTCCATCTATATGTTCATGCAACATGTAGCTATCCTCTTGCCTTACACATCTAATTGCTTACCCGTCAAGGCGAGCACAAGCAGCAGGAGCAAATTCAGGTGATGCTCCTCTCTACCTGCAGCTTCAATGTTGCTCCTCACCTTCATGATAGCTAGATCATCACACTTGTTTTATCTTTTTATGTATCTAGGGTTTATTTGCATAACTGACTGCTAGCTGTTCATTGCACTGATGCCATCGATTCTAGCTTTTAGCACTGAAATGCTGAAGGTAAAGAAATAAAACACTTTGTTCTAATTCCCATGACTTCTTCTGCAGCGTTCTGAACCTGCCAGCAATATGGCAGTGGTCCTGGATGCTTTTGCATCTTACATTCAAAACATGCTGACGGAGATGGCAAAAGAAGAGGTGGACATGCTTCTCGGGGTCTCTGGTGAGATCGATAACCTTGGCACCAAGCTCGGGGACCTCAAAAACTTCCTCGCTGATGCTGACAGGAGGAACGTCACCGACCAAAGTGTGCAGCCATGGGTGAGGGAGCTCAAAGACACCATGTACGACGCCACTGACATCCTTGACCTGTGTCAGCTTAAGGCCATGGAGAGAGTTCATCATCCCTGGCTATGGGGTGCCTCAACCCCTTGCTATTCTGCATGAGGAATCCGTCTTCGCCCACGACATCGGCAGCCGCATCAAGAAGCTCAACAAGAGGCTAGACGCCATCAAGGAGCGCAGCGCTACCTTCAGCTTCATCAACCTTGGTTCCTATGAGGACCGCAGTGGCAAGGAGACAACATCTCGTCTTGCCAACCGCGAGACCTCAGCGCAGCTCGACCGGTCTAGTGTGGTTGGCGAACAGATTGAACTTGACACAAGGAAGCTAGTGGAGATGCTAACAGAAGACCCTGAAACCACTGCTACCCATGACAAAGATAATAAAAGTATGGTCTTGGCTATTGTTGGCATTGGCGGAATTGGCAAGACAACCCTTGCCCAAAAAATCTTCAACGACGACACCATCAACCGTGTCTTCACCAAAAAGATATGGTTGAGTGTCAACAAGGACTTCAGTGTGGCAGAGATCCTAAAGAGAGCCATCATCGAATCTGGGGGGGATCACCATGCAGCTGGGAATGCAAAAGCCACACTTCAACGGATCCTTCAGAATGCTTTGGATGGGCACAAGACTATTCTGGTCATGGATGATGTTTGGAATGACCAAGCATGGAGTGATGTTCTTAAAACGCCATTTGGCAATGCTGCTGGTCATGGTAGCCGAGTCCTGGTCACCACAAGGCATGACTTGGTTGCACGAGCGATGAAAGCTAGGGAGCCCTACCACCACGTCGACAAACTTGACCCCAAAGATGCTTGGTCCTTGCTCAAGAAACAGGTCTGTATGGTATTACTTTTCTTATGTTCTTCCTTTTTGCTTTCCTTTTGCTAGGGATACTGATTACTGAATTATCTAAGCCATCCTTATGTTGGTGTGCTCTGTTTATGGGACCAGTCCATCAATGGGATGGGTGATGGGTCCATTATACCTGAGTACTAGCAGGATGAATCATGACGATCAGCCCAATATCTTAAACAAAGCAAGAGCCAAACATATTTGGACCTATGACGACATGATCCAACACCACTTAATTTATCAAGCCAAACACAAGTTACAAATTAAATTCCCATCCTAAAATGCATTGAGGTTCTTTTGATCTATATTTATAGCCTGTATGTCCCATCCTAAAAAGCATTTTCTCTTTTGTTCTACATTCTTGTCAAGTAGCTCATTTTCTTTTGATCTAAATTCACATTAGCTTTCTGCTGCAAATAACCCTCCTCTGGTGTCTGGTGACACCCAAAACAACATGATGAGGATCATGCACAATTAAATATCTGTATCAATGTCAAAGGATGCATATTTCTTTATATTCACACATTAATCTGAGATGAGAAAATCCGTAAGTATTCTAACATTAATTGGAAAATAAGGACAAAATATATGAATTTCCACATTAATTCAACCCAAAGAAAAACATTTAGCTGTCCACATTGTAGGGAATTTTTTTCATGATATGCTTTTTACTTTTTTAGTAAAGGATGTCTCTGCAAGTATAGCCACCAGTGAATTTTTGTTACTCATTTTATTGGCTTGGACTGCTTGCAGGTAATCAGAAATGAAGATGAGGAGCCTCTGATTGATATGCTAGAGGATATTGGAATGAGAATTATAGAAAAATGTGATTGTTTGCCACTTGCTATCAAAGTAATGGGAGGACTCCTGTGCAAGAAAATGGCAAGACGAGGAGATTGGGAAAAGGTATTGAATAATGCAATATGGTCAGTATCTCAAATGCCTGAAGAGCTAAACTATGCAATATACCTTAGTTACGAAGATCTGCACCCTTCTTTAAAACAATGCTTTTTACACTACTCCCTCATCCCTAATAAGAGCACAGTGTTCTTCGTTGATGACATTGTGAGCATGTGGATTAGTGAAGGATTTGTTGAGGGGAACTCTGATGAACTAGAAGAATTAGCAACGGAGTACTACAATGAGCTAATACTGAGGAACCTTATAGAACCAGATCTTTTGTATGTTGACCGATGGGTTTGTAACATGCATGATGTAGTTCGATCATTTGCACAATATATGGCAAGAGATGAAGCACTAGTAGCACACAAAGGGAAACCTGATATTGGTAAACTCAACTCAAAAAAATTCATTCGATTGTCACTGGAAACTGAAGGATCAGAAGCAGAGGAGTTAGAGTGGAGCTCTCTGCAATCACAGAAATCACTGAGAACACTACTAGTAGCTGGGCATATAGGGATTAAAGCTGGTGATTCATTGGGTACCTTTCCAAGTCTACGGACCCTACATATAGACTCAACAAATTTTGACGTAATGGCTGGATCATTGTGTCAACTCAAACACTTGAGGTATTTCTCTATCACTGACCCTAACACATCTAGGCTCCCGGTAAACATTGGAAAGATGAAATTCTTGCAGTACATAAGTCTTGATGGTTGTGAAAACTTGGTGAAGCTTCCTCGTGGTATTGAAAAGCTACAACAGCTTAGGTATCTTAGCCTAATGGGAACGAATATAAATTTTATACCTAGGGGGTTCTACGCTTTTAACTAATTTGAGGAAGATTTTTCGGTTTCCGCCCACATGGATGGCGACTGGTGTAGCCTGCAAGTGTTGGAGCCTCTTTCCAGGCTCATGGGCCTTTCTATATATGGTCTAGAAAATGTACTTTCTTCCTCCTTCGCCCGCAAAAGGCTAGGCTTGGTGAAAAGGTGCATCTTAGCTATCTGTTCTTAAACTGCACCAGTAGACTAGAAGATGATGGATAACTCGTTAGAGAAGACGAAGTCTTCTCTGAGGCAGAAGCAACAACAAATTGTGGAAGTGTTTGATGAGCTCTGCCCTCCCCCTGCTTAGATGTTCTTGAAATTGAAGGATTTTTTTGGGCGGTGGTTCCCAAGGTGGATGAGATCAATAGCAGCTGCACCCCTTGAAAACCTCTGGATTCTGGACGATGGATGACTTGCCTTGCTGCACAGAGCTCCCCAATGGCCTGTGTCATCTACCATGCTTGGAGTTACTTCAGATTTGTCGGCGCCAGCCATCGAGCGTGTTGGACTGGAATTCTTGCAGCCCCAGCATGATCACCACCATACTTCCCAGTTGGCTGCTGTGTTTCCCAGATTGCACAACTTAACATTAACAGAAATGGTGGAATGGGAGGAGGGGAGGGAGGAGAATGTGCAAGCCATGCCATTGTTGGAAGAGTTTCTTCTAGAGAGTTGCAAGTTGAGGTGTATTCCAGTTGGCCTTGCTTCCCATGCGAGGTCTTTGAAAAAATTATATGTACATGATGTACAGCACCTCAACTCCCTGGAGAACCTTGCTGCCGTTGTTGAGCTCGAAGTGTATGACAACCCCGACCTGATGAGAATTGCTAATTTCCCCAAGTTGTGGAAGCTGGACATCTCTGGGTGCCAAAAGCTGAAGGTATTGGAGGGGTTACCTGCACTCCAGAAACTTGAGCTGACAGATTACGACATGGAGACACTCCCTATATACCTGAAGGATTTCAAACCAACAAATCTGCAGATAGACTGCACCTTATCGCTGCTGACCTCCAGCCGCAGAGAAAAATTCAGCCATGAGTGGGACAAGTTTAGTCATATCCAACAAGTCAAGGCATATGCAAACGACGGAGATATTGAAAGAAAATGGTATGTGCTGTACACAAGAGAGCCTTTCAATTTGGAGACAAATGTCGCTGACAGGTATTCCAAATCACGTAACTGCTTTATTTAACTTGTCCAATTTGACTTTCAATCTGTTTCATCTCTGAAAAATACTGTTGTTGGTTCAGTTTAGCTTTACTGCATTTTCTATTTTGTTTTTTTGTTTAACTCAACTGCCTGTTTTGTTTCAGAGAATGGTGACAAAGAGGCTCCAAGGAGTGAGGAAGGGGAAACTATGAATGAAGAAGAATATGACGTACAATGCATAAAAATGAGTCTCTTGGGGTTTTCCTGTTATGTTTTTTTTTCTACTTTCCTTGTGATGTACCAAGGGGCTATAGGGTTGATTATGCCATCTTAAGTCAATCATGCAATTGTATGATTCAGAGAAGATCCTGACATAATGTAATGTGTGAGCAACTGATAATGTAATGTGAAATTATGCCATCTTAAGTCAATCATGCAATTGTATGATTCAGAGAAGATCCTGACATAGGCAGTCCTAAGGATTTGTGTGAGCAAATGATAATGTAATGTGAATATGCTTGGCTCCATTTTTGTTGCCTGTATATGTACTAGCAGAAGCAGTTGATGCAGTTAAAATTTTCCACTTGGTTCTTTCGCCACCAAAATTGCGAAACAACTTTTTTTGTTGTTAATATCACGAAGGCACAAACATCAGACATTCAGACTACCTGACAGCTTGGAAGAACAGCTCCAGAAAATTGGTACAAAGTGCTTACCGTTGGGCTTGCATTGGCTGTCGGACCTGAAGAGCCTACCTGATCATAGAGCCCGAAGCGGCCGTCGCCTCAGCTCAAGCAAATAAGCTTCAAAGGAAGTACCTTTTTATTTATTTATTTTATTTAGTTGATTGAAATGAAAGAACAATTAATTGATTGATTGATGAAATAGCGGGCAGAAACTGAAACCTGCAGCATAGGCGCGCCGCCTTTCCGTTCCCCTCCCTCCGGCGCAGAACCACCAGACGGTGCCGGAGGCTGCGCGCTACCGTCTTCAGAGACGACGGACGGTGCAGCGGCGGCGGCGGACGGATGCAAAATGCGATGGTTACTGGTGGCCTGGTTAGCGACGGCATGTGAGCTCTTTGGGCCTTGGGGGAGGGAGAGGGAGAGGACGGCCCACGGGCTCGGGGCCAATGGCCTCGATCGATCCATCAATCAAAAAATCTATTTCACCTCCCTTATGCAAGTCTGATTTACCTCCCTTAGTTCTAAAATCTGACTTTTACCTTTCTCAACTTTTGAAACCTTTGAAACCGCGTCTGATTTAACTCCTTCAGTAGTTTTGAAAATGATTTTAGCTAACATGGCACAACGTCAGCCGTCTACGTGATACCATGTAAGTCACGAGAAAGGTAAATCGGACTTTCACAATAGTTCAAGAAGATTAATTAAAGTTTAAAAAGATAAAAATATTTTTCAAAAAAGTTATCTAAATACTTTTCAAGAAAAATGTATTTAAAATACTAAAATCTGATTTAACCTTAGAAAATTTGTTTTAACTCAAAAAAATATGAAACCAATTTTATATGTATTCTAAAACTATGCTCTACATTTTTTTCCTTGCTTAGAATTATTTGGATCTTATATGGTCTCCTAAAATCTGAAATTAAGCTAAATATGAAATATAGGATTCAGGCAAAGACAAATCGTTGTGCAACCTGTCTTGCACACTACAAACAATGTTTCCTCAGCAATGTCATATTGCTTAACCATCCAGACATGCGATTTTGATAAAAAATATAATTCAAGTTCTGATTGTATATTAACAATATGTACCATGTGGTTTAACTTTGTAGCAGCATTGTATTCTCCAAGGGACATCACGATGATGGCGTGTGCAAACTCACTGGACCATCAGCGGCAGTTGCCATGCGGCTTCTTAGAAAACCAAACCGACGTTTGCTACTTGTCCAGCATAAAATTATTTTTGACAAGTGCTGACACACAACCTTTTTGCACGTTTTGTTCAAATGAACATGTGGGCTACGTTAGTAGGGGGCAGTTACAGCGAGGTGAAACCAACAAGAAACACATTTTTTTATGTTTGTCAAGTGGTAGAAGCAGCAAGGTGAAACAGACAAGAAACACGATTTTTATGTCTATCAAGTGGTACAAGCGGTGACACTGCACTTTTTTTTTGCGTCCTTTGGATGGCCTTATTATATAATGCTACAATTGAGTTGTGAGTGGAAGTTGTCCATTATTTTACATGTTTGTAACAATTGGTCTTATTCTCTTGGCATAAGAGATGAAGCTGGTTTAGTTTTTCATTATCTAAGAAAATGTGGATGTTTAACACATAATAATTTCCATCTAAACAACAGAAGAACTGAGAGCATGTCATGTCTTATGTGCCTTGGAATTTTTTGGGAATTGTTGGATCTAATTGGGATTGGCCCATGATATTCAATTAAATTAATATACAATTAGGATACCCATAACAAATGCTAAATGTGTAATCATATACACAAATTGACTAGAGGTTAACTCATCAACTTATAAAGATGGGTGTATGTACCTAATGTGAAGTTGAGAAAGGAGAGGAAAGCGTGCCACACATGTGCCCGCGTACATCACCACACTGCCATGGAATGGAGTCACCAGTGGAGTCGAGTGGCGACGTTTAGCCATGACATGACATGACATGATGTAGTGTGTGGGTGGGTTGGTTGCCAATTGTGCCTATTGATGGCCAGGCCTGAGCGTTCGGTTTTACCGAACCGAACCGATCGGTTCTTCGGTTTTTCAAGAAGTTTGATTCTTAGAAAACTCGGTACGAATCGGTTCTTCAAAAAACTCGGTACCGATCAAGTTCGGTTTCGGTTAGTTCGGTTCGGTTCTCGGTTTCAACCGAACTAATCGACCAATTATTGAACAGGTTACAGTAGAAAAATTCAGCAGCATTTTGGTTGTTTTCATGGCATAAATGACATGGCAACATATGCAAATCAATAAGTCACAACCAAATAACCACAACCAACACATCAGCACATTCACAAATCACAAGTTCACGACAAGTCAACCACAAACCCACAGGAACAGAAAACAGTCCATTGTCCTTGTCCATACATAACAGATATTAAACAGTCCATAGTTCATAGTCCATGACCATAACAGATATTAAAACAGAATGAGAAACTAAGATAGATAATGCCACAGTGGGCAGTGGTACAGCACAGTCAACACCCGCTCTCCAACCCTGAAACAGGAAGCACCAGGAAGCCACCAACCAGCCCTCCGCTCCCGTCTCCAAAAGCACCAGGAAGCCTGAAACAGGTTGTGAAACAAGTCAATTAGTAATAAAATTGGTCACAATTTAGATATGTCTAGAAAAAAGGACCGATCATATGACTGAAACACCTTGTGAAAAATGCTCACATGATCATGTAGCTGTAGTCTAGGAGGACTTGTCTGTGCTCTTGTTCTTGCTTTGGAGGATTTGCTTGGCTGTGAACTGATGTTGGTGGAGGTGACCATCTTGTTTTTGCTGCCTTGAATTTGTGACTTTGCAGCATGGCCATCCAAAATGGCTTTTTCCTTGAACTCTTGAATAATTTCTTAAATGAGACAAAAAAGATATATTAAATATTTTTTCATCAATGAAAACAACAAACAAAAGATATGACATATTGAATCACCTTCTTCTAGTTTGGCCAACTCTTCTGTATTCTCTGCAATATCGATGGGAGTTGCCCTTTTAAGCCAATCTTGAGTACAAACAAGAGCTTCAACCATAAATGGAGTGAGTGAAGTCCTAAAATCATCTAGTATACGCCCACTTGTGATAAAGGCAGATTCACTAGCGATAGTGGATACTTGGATGGCGAGCACATCATGAGCCAATCTAGACAATATGGGTAATCTAGCTGACTGCCCCTTCCACCCAATTACTGATCTCTTGGTCAATGTCCTCCTCAAGCTGAGACATCTGAAAAAATAATTGAAGTGACACATACATTCAGATCTTGAATCATATCTGTCAGCAAAATACTTACACTACAGGAGGCAATGGATGTAGCCGTCTTGGGGTGGAGGGCGCTAGTGAGTGGTGACGTGCGGACTGCGGACCAAGAGGGCCTTGCGAGCTTGGGTTGGCGGGCCAAGCGGCTGCCATGGTCAATGGGGATCCCAGCGCATCGCGCAGGGCAGCGTAGGCTGCAGGCGGATCGCCAGCCAGTTGAGGGCGCGCAGGAGGCGCGTGTCAACCACCGCGCAGCCCAGCCATGAGGTGGCGGCGTGGGTGGGGATGCGGCGCCGGACTGGGGAGGCCAAGAGGGCGCGATAGGAGGATGCAGGGGGGCGCCGGGAGGGCACGCCGGTCGCCGGGGCAGGCGCGTGGGTGGGGATGAGGCGTGGGTGAGGAGGCCGGGAGGTCTCGGGGTGGAGACGGGAGTGGCTAGGGTTACTCGCTCGGGGTCAAGGCATCAAGCAGTAGTTCAAGCCGGGCCTTCTGGGCCTCTGGTTCTTGGTTATTTCAAGCAACCGAGGGAGTAATCGATTAACCGAACAAAGTTCGGTTCTCGAGAACCGAGAATCGAATGTAACCAAATTTCGGTTCTCGTTAGTTCGATTCAGCCTCAGTTCTCGATAAATTTGCCCGAGGCTATTGATGGCATCTCGTTATGGCCGATCTGTCCATGTTACTAGTAATACTGTAGTAGAGATATCGTTACCGAAGAACGGCCTAAGCGTTGATGGCTTCTAGTGCAACTCTATTTGATTAGTATATTCATTTATATAATGAGAGCTATGAAATTAAATGCATAGAAACAAGATCACACCTGCACATATTTTTCATGATTATCTTTGTTCATTTATGCATTTTGAGGGCACAAAATCGTGGAGAGATCCCCACAAGGAAAGAAAGTTCTGTGGTGGCAACCAAACTTCGTGAGCTGAGATGATCGTTGGGGCATTGGGGGCGACTCACTGTGGATTTTTTCTCGTTGGCGTGATAGCGCTACTTTGTCGCGCCCACATGCCTTCGGGCGTGACAAACGGGTCCCACGGTGGCGGCGATCGACTACCCGAGGTGGCATGGCGGATGGTGGGGCCCGCCCTCACGCTTATCGACTCCGCGCAGACCGTCGCACTAGGGCCATAAAAAGGCGCGCCCACCTCCTCTTCCTTCTCTCTCTTTTGTGTCCCTATTTTCCTCATTCGCAGGAGTTCGTG